AAAGTAAAATATTTTACTTTTTTTCCACAGAGAATGAGATACTCTGAGATTCATAGGGAGGAACCAGTAAGGATCAAAATTATGTGTCATTTCCTTAAAAAAAGAGGAAAAAACCCAACAGTAAAAGTGCAGGTCATGAGAATCAAGGTGAGCCTTTTTGTCTTCCTTTATAAAGCAGATATAGAGGATGTGAAGCAAGCCAAAATGCAGCAGAGCAGCAAACTTGGGAGTTGTTTAAACTCCTTTTCTTCAGAAACAGGAGAGAAAAAAGCAGAAGGTTTGCAGTTTAATTTGCCTTCTCTACCCAAATCCACCAAGGATACCACTTTGAGGGGGGGATGTCTCATCCATCCCAGTTCTCTTAGTTCTCAGTCCTATTCAGTCTTTACAGCCCCATGAGGACCCTTCTGTGTCAGGGGAGAACAAAGACATGTCTCCTCTCCTAGATAGAAAACTCCCTCTTTGTGATAAAGGGCAACTCTCAGAGCTTCCGGAACAGCACTTTCTCCATTGCCAACACCAGGAGTTAAATATAATTGCAACTGGACTGGCAAAAAGGAATCTCAAGTAGGGCAGAATGGTTTGTATCCACACTACCAATGCCAGGGCCTGTTTGGAACACACTGGGCCAGCCTTTGAACTGTTCCCAAATCTTTTTTGTGGTTACCTTTGGTTTGTACCACATCTGGGTCAAGCATTAAATTCTGTCTGTAGACCCTGCTGGATTTGAATACTTTTAAAATAGAGCCACCAGCATAGGTTCTTTTCAGGAGTGATGGAATGAAAGTCATATCTACATTTTCCGTAGTTCTATGAGAATTTTCTTGTCTTTACCATCTGTTCTACCAAATTAGGGAATGATATGCTAATACAGGCAAATATGAGTTTTCATTTTGGGATTGGAAATTCTTTGATATTGAATTGTTATTGAATTACAACCTACACTTGTGAAAGATAGGGGAACATTTTTCAACAGAACACTCTTACTCCACTGAATGTCAGGCTGCTGAGCCAGCTGAAGCAGTCACGACTTCCCTCTCTCTGGCTGCCCACTTTTGCCTCCACATCACTCACTCAGTTTTGGTCTCACCATTCCAGAAAAATACTTTATATTTTTCCTGTGAATTTCTACAGCAGATAGTCCTCACAGTCATAGCCATGGCAGATAAAGCACAGCTTGCAATGTGAATCAGGTCTGTAACACAGATAACTGGCCTAGTTCACACACTGCCTTTTGCGGACAGTAAGGCTAACTACCCATCTTTGGTGGTGATTGGTAATGTAATGGGGTTCTGGAGGTCTTTGTCCTTTTGTAATCACTTGATCTCATGGAGATCAGTTTGTTATTGTGGCTGTGGTCCAATTTCTCTCAAGAGTGCATATCACTCATTCTTCTTTCTCCAGTGAAGCTTTTTAAAGCACTTTTAAGAGTTTTCATGAAGTCTGTAAGATGCATCGTACCATTTACTACATTTATAACAATAACAGTTTATGAATAAAATGAAACCTGTATTTCTCCTTAACATGTATTTTCTTCTTTTCTAGGTAGAAAAGCTGTTTTCCACATCTTGTGAATGCAAACAAATGGAAGAGCATTATCACCACTTCTTCAGGGTCTTTAGAAATTTGGAAAGCTTTTGTTGAGCAGAGTGTTTTGTGGAGGTGAATGGAGGAGTACAGACAAATCAGATGTTCTTCTGTTTGATGATTCAGACCTACTAGATCTGAAGATGCAAGAACCAAGGCATAGCTTAGAGTAGCCCTAAAGCTTCTTTAAGTTGTGCTTGGAAAACAATTGCCTCTACACAGCTGTTGGAGAGGAAGGAATTGTTTTGATATACTTAAAGCATGCTTAGTTCACACCATCTTTTCTGTAATTACTCTAGGCTTGCTATTGTCACAGACAGTGATCTGACTTCTTCAGTACCATTCTTTAATAAAATCTCAAAATTTAACCTTCATATGTCTTTTTAGTTATGTCTGAGTAAACTGCAATACACAGGTGTGTTAGCATGATGATACAGTTCATAAAGTATAGAACTAATATGGCAAAGACTAGAGATTCAGAGTTGCTTTTCTATTATTAATCAGATACACAATATTATGTGTACTTCTGTGTTCTTACAAGCTCTGTCTCCTGGCTTTACAGTCCACTGTGCTAGGTGCTCTACAGAGTCTGCCTACCCTCATTGCAGCTGTATATGCAGGTGTCATGCTCAGGGATAAATACTGATTGTAATATTACAGCATTGTCATAACAGTATCCCTGTGACCTATTACTGTAAATGGTAGGTGTTGAAACGAGTTGAATGGCTGACCTATAGCAGTTGGGTACCCTGTTATGCAGTGACTTAGTCAAGTAAGGAAAAGGTTTTTGTATGGATTTTCATAATTGGAATGAATGAAACTGTACATGAAGGCATGTGCTAGCAGTTTCACAAAGATAAACCTTTCTCAAGATGTCTGCTTCCTGATTTAACAGCCATTTTTCCAGCTGAAGATGAAAATTGAAGAAGCATGAGGGATGTAGTCAATGACATAAATATACATAAATCAGTTTATCTATGACTACAGTGTTCTCTGTGTTGTTGCAATAAAACCAGGTGTTTCTTACCTCTGCAGGGAACTGACCCCTCAAGAGAAATAGGATGATAAATCTACAGCTGGGGTTTTGAGCATTCTGTGCTTACAAAAGGGTCTTGGATTTTTTTCTCCCATCTCCTCTTCCCATGAAATGCATGCTGTCCACTTGCACCCTGAGAATGACTGAACTGCTTTTGGACTTGGGACCCTTTATATAGTAGGGTGGACAAGTCAGATGACATGGGCAAGCTGGAAGGAAGGGAATGATGGATATGTCTGGGATAAGGCTAGAACAGAAAAAGGTGAGGGGCTGACACAGTGGTGAGATGTTTTTGGCCAGGGCAGGGAGCAGAAGGAGAGGGAGCTGTGTCTGTGTCCTGGGTTCAGCTACAGCAGTCATTTTTTCTCCTTAGTAGCTGGTGCAGTGCTGTGTTTTTGACTTTCAGCCTGGGAACAACGCTGATAACACCGATGGTTTTGGTTGTTGCTGAGTGATGTTTACTCTGGCCAAGGACTTTCTCAGTCTCATGCTCTGCCAGGGAGGAGGGGAAGCCGGGAGGAAGCACAGACAGGACACCTGACCCAGACTGGCCAAAGGGCTATTCCATACCACAGCACGTCATGCCCAGGAGAGAAACTGGGGGGAGTTACCCTAGTGCCTTCTACTGCCTTTCAGCAAGGGCTTGAAATGAAAAGCAACCACAGCTTGGAGAATCAGAGGAGCTTAATGCATTTATACTATACTGTTGGACATTTTATTTACTTGATCAGCACCAGATGAGAAAAAATAGGGAAGTCCCCATTTGGATTTCCCAAATACCAAAATTCTGGAATTTTAATACATATATGGCTAAATTTTAGCCCACATATAGTTTGGGACATTTGTGTTTGAACATTTCTTTGAAATGCATTTGTGTGCTTTAACATATCTTGCATATACAGGTATTTACACCCTTCAACTTAAATATTTAGACAATTTAATTGTGTTGGTGTGTATGACCAGTTGAGCGCTGTTTGTTACTGACTTTAAGTATCTTGAGATGCTGGCAAAGCACCCCGCTGAGAAGACTTGCAGATCCCTGAACCTGTGTAGTCACGTTTTTGTGGGTAATAGTGAAGAAATAAGTATTTAAAAAGTGGAGATAGTTCTACATGAATCACTGTTGTAACTCCTGTCCCAGGAATTGCTCAGCTGTGTACACAAAACTGAAATCTGTTACCTCTAAGATAGGTGCAGTTTGGATATGTGAGGAACAGAGATAAGCTGTTTGGAGATGCTGCAAAGCAGCTCCTGAGCTGCCACTGCCAGCTGTTTTCTCCCGTGCTTTGGGTTTGCCTTGCCAAAAGAAGCAGAGAACCCCAATTCAGGCAGAATTGAGGGCTCGGGCAATTTATTGGCATGAGGAGGCTCTTATATCTGTCCTTGTTGGCTGTGTCTTCATTCCTCACACAGCATTGCCTGTGTCACCTCCCATGTCAAGGTGCCCTCACGGAGTAGGACGTCCAGGGACAACACTAGATCAAGGAGATGAGAGTCCCAGATCCGTGGGATTGAAGAGGAGTGTATACCTATAACAGAGTTGAAGGTACCCCTACTTTGCACTCCCACCAGCTTCTGGGCCAGGCAGGGCTCCTCAGCCCTTTCTTCTTCTTGCCTGGAGCACGTCCCTTCTTTCCTTCTTCTTTTCCCTTCTGCCATTGGGATCCAACCCAACCTTCCCCTATGTGGCTCTGACTCCTGCAGAATGGTGCTACCTGTGCTCACCTCCTCCCGCAGACATGGCAGTGCCAAAAGTTCAGCAAAGTAAAAGCATGTTGAGGAGCATGTGCTAGAGGAGATGGGGTTGTTGCAGGTACTACACGTGCTATGGTGGGTGTTAGTCCTGGTCTTCTCTGTCCTTCCTTCTGCCTTGCTAGATGCCTTACCTATTTCCCCTAGGATTTGGTGGTTCAGATCAGAGCATGGCACTGGAGGACCCAGGAAGGCAGCAAAGCTCCCTTCCCACCATGAACCCTTGTTGAGTTGAAGAGCAGCAGTGCGCTCACCTCTCCTGGCAGCACTCGGACGCGGTGCTGTTGGAGCAGCCTGTTTTGTTGGCCGTTTTCTGTAGGCTCTCTACAAGAGAGTCTACAGTTGGTAACCTTTCACTCTAGGCAGTTGCCTGTTATACCTGGTCTGAGGATGCTCATCGTCATGGGTGGTCACGGGCTAGTAGCCCCCTGCCCATCGGTGACAATGACTGTAAAAGCTGCACAGACTTTCAGGGCTAAAACCATCTGCAGGAGCTGGCCCTGGCCCTGTGACCTGCTGTGCAATAGGATGGCAAAGCACTCGTGAAGCTTCTTGCTTTATGAGTGAGTGGGGCTTGGAATTGCATCAAGCTTTGGACTAACCTGGCTGTGCCTTCCTTCCACAGGGAATGATCTCTTTCTGGTTGCAGTTCATGAGCTGGGACACGCGCTGGGTCTGGAACACTCCAATGATCCCAGTGCTATCATGGCTCCTTTCTACCAGTATATGGAAACACACAACTTCAAACTGCCCCAGGATGACCTCCAAGGAATTCAGAAAATCTATGGTGAGCAACGCTACCCACTAATCTATTTACAATGAGCTTGAGTTCAGTGAGTATGTTACACAGACAGGAGACCTGCAAAATGCTTGTAGCTGGTGGGCTGGGTTTCCTGCTATAGCTGAGTGGGCAACCGTTTAAAGCCCTTGAGCCACAGCCAGATACTGGACAACTGTCCCAGTGGCAATATCTGCACAAGTCAGGATAACCAAATCTCTGTGATTGCTCCGTCCCTCACCATGTCCTCAATATCAAGGAGCATTAGAAAGGGAAAACCGAGCAATTGCTGTACCCAAAGTATGTCCATTAGGAACAGCCAATGCAAACAGAGGGAAGGAGTGCAAGGAACATGGAACATCAAGGAAAGGTAGAAAGTATTTGTGCACTCATTTTTTTTTCTCCATATGTACAAGCTAGGGAATTAGGGAATGCTTAATCTCCAGCTGAACATTGTTGTACAACATGGGCCACAAAGATACGGGCTCAAGGTAAAGAGAGGAAAGGAGGCAGAGAGAAAATCAAGGGGCTGGAGATGATGTGCTACCATATGATGGGGGATCATGGATACCAGGGTGTGAGGACAGGGACTTTGAGAGAATTATTGGCTGAAGGAGTCTCTGGGAGCAGAGGGAAATGCAGGTTTTAGGAGCCACAGTCAAGGGGAGGCTGAGCTAGAACGTGCTAATGGATATAGTCTGTGGCAGCCCATGGAAAACAGGTTTTGTCAAACATCCCTGATTTCATTGTTTGAGGAAAGTACAGATCTGACTAAGAGGTTAACAAATGTAGCATAGAACAACTATGCTATGCAGTTATGCAACACCTGCAGCTACTTGACATCTAGAGTCAGATATTAGCTCCCAGTATCAGTCGAGCACATATTATATGAATTAGACCTAAAAAAACCCCTTTATAAGATGGTTGTCAGTGGGAAAGAGGGATTCCTGCTGGGAGGGATTCCGGCTGGGATCAGCAGCAGTCCTGGCACTAGTCAACATTTACATCAGTGATCTGTCGGTGCATTTTGAATTACTTCTATAGGATTTGTGCCAAGACCTGTGAGGCTCTAAAGCAGTACAGCAAGACTTTAAAGGTCTAAACTGTCAATTGTTTGAGATGGGGTTGTTTGGGTTGGTTTGGGTTTTGTTACTGGTTGTTTTGGGGGGTATTTTTGTGGCTGGAATAAGATTCATTTGTTCAAATGTAAATGCCTGAAGAAGATAAATCTCTTTCTGGGCAGGTTTCTCTGACTTTGTCCTGACAATGGGGAAAACCCAAGCATTTGTAGAATGCAGTTCGTCCTCAGTGTAAGGCAGACACACAAATAAGGTCTAACATGTAAAATAAGATGACTTGAAGTACACTCAGGGGGAACTGGCTCTTCCCATTAGTACAGCTGAAGATTTCTCTTTATTGTTCATTAGCAGGATGAAGTTGCATGGCAATTGTCATATGGTATCATTTAATTATGCATTCTTTAACATAGTATATACTCAAATACTCAGGGTAACAGAGACTCTGGATGGTTTTGAAAGAAAGTGCTGGGGTAGTAAGTATATTTTTCATTAAATAATATACCTTTCGAAATACTGATTTTTGAAAGCTGCTGAAATGTCTTTACACTGTTTCTGGTTTGAAATGTTGATTTAGTTCCTGTGAACTTTGACAAATCAAGAAGAAAAAAAATGATCTAAATTTATGGCTGATGGTGCAACTGCAATCAAGAAGAAGCTACTGGTTCCTCTGTTTTCAGACACCTTTTGGAAAGGGAGCAGATGAGGAACTGAGAGCTGTGCTGCTTCATGTCTGTGGTTGAAGCCAGTATCAGCTGTGGCTGAGCTGGGGACCAGCACTCCCCCAGCACAGCTTGGGCAGGGACCCAGTGCCCCAGGCTGAGCTCAGCTGGGGCTCCAGTTCCAGCTGAGGTACTGGGTGATGCTGGTCAGGGCCAGAGACTTCAGAGTGTCCTCAGGGCCCTGACAGTTTGTGAGAGCACTGCACAGCATCTTGTGCAGAGCTGTAGCAGAGCAGAGGTTCACTACTATCCCGCCTGTGGCTTGGCAGCAGCACCACTGCACTTCCACTTACGTTTCACTTATATAGTGACATTAAGCTTTAGCCACGTGCTCTGCTAAGATTCTCTGTCTGCAATATAGTATACTTAGAGTTTTAACTCAGCTTGAAAAAACCGGTATGAATGAATTACTGCCTAGTGCAGGTAGTAACTAGGGATTAGTTTGTTGACTATCATGGAATCACAGAAGGCTTTTCTCCGAGGCCTTTGGACTGAAGTGGATTGGGGATGATGGTGGTGGTTGTAGAGAGAACTAGTCCTGCAGGGAGAAGAAGGATTAGCTTCTGCAGTAGGAGCTTTGATACCCCACATAGAGATTTTGGTCCTTAGCATAGAGCTACGGTCCAAAACCTAAAGGTTAGTTTAAAGCTAGGTTTTACTCTTACAGATCACAAAGAAAAGATATAAAACGCAGGTTATGTTTCTCCCTGGAACTGGATATATAAGAACAGACATTTTCATCTGAGCTTCTTAAAACTGAGAAGGGACAGCTAAAATATCCTTCTTGTAGCTTTAGCAGGAACATTGAACTAATGTGTTTTATTTCCACAGTGCCAGTCTGCTTTGTTTTGCCTTGGGAGTGCCAAAAGCCCATCTACCAGGGCACCTATCCAAATATCAAAACCTTCTGCTTTCTTGCTGCTTTGACATTCTCTGCAATGCAGCAGCATGCACTCAATACATATTATTTAGGAACCCACTATGCAAAATGAATTGAGGAGACAGAGCCACTGCCTTGCCTGTAGCGCCCTTATTAAAAAATAAATTCAATTAAAACTTTCAGTTTTTCATTCCTCTGAAGTTGCTGGAACAAGCAACAGAGGCTCTACTAAAGTCCATTTTGTCTCCTTCTTTTGAGAATGATGCATTTCAAATGTTTTTGATGTTCTGTGTTCATCCATCAGAAAAGAAATATGTCTAAATCTGTCATACAACAATTTATTAAATTATTAAGTTATTTTCTGCTGGATTTATTTCCAGACTCACCTGAAGAGGCAGTAGGTAATGTGAACTCTTCTTTGTGCTTCATGCTGGTTAGTGTAAGGTCAATGTTTAAAATGTTGTTTCCAATTATGAGCTAAGGAAGAAAAGGCCAGCAGCTCACTGTGTGTGAGAGAGTGCACTGTAAGACAAGTCAGCAGTATTTCCATCTTCTGAAAGATGCTTCTCGTAGCATCTTCCTTGACAAAATGAGGGAAGTAGCATGACTGTTCTTTACATGTGTTTCAGAGGGATATCTCCCACTGTACTTAATGTCAATGTCACAAGTGATGTGCCCAGGAAGCAACATTATGTAGGGTATCTGTCAAGGTGACTGCCTCTTTTAATTTTGCTAGTATTGAAGCCAGGGCAGCACGCAGCTACAGTGCTGATGGAGAGAGGAGACACACTCAGCCATGGTCTTGTCACACAGCCTGAACTGATCATCCTTCAGCACTGGTTCTCCTGTTCTAAGTACATCCTGCTCTAAGTACCCTTTTGCAGCAGGCTGTGAAGCAGCCTCTCATGTTAGGAGTGACTCTTCTGACACTGTGCCTGGGGAGCGGAGGGGCTGACGTGATGTGCAGGAAAAGTTCATGTCCGGATGGATGCTTGGAGCTGGTAAACCAGGCCATTACCTTCAAGGCCCTTTCAGAGCCTGAGGTCACAAAGGAAAGGTCCACTAACAGCTCAAAGATAGACCAAATCCTTAAGCCTGGAGACAACCTCAAGGATCTGAGTCATCCCAAATCTCACTGAGGACATGTCAACCTTACACGTCTTTCCTGCAGCTCAGGAGAACAACTCCCAGCCAGTGTACATGCTGCATCCCATGAGGGCTGAGGTCCAGGGTTGTCATGAAACTACACCGGCCCCTGGCCAAGGAACTAGATAACACCAGCTCTGACATCCAGGAGCAGGGGATCAGCTGGGCACAGTGTCCATGAGCAAACAGCACCTTCTGCCAGCCTCGTTACTCCTGTGCAGCAAGCACAGGTCTCAACCTTCCTCACCTTTTCCCAATGGCTGCCCACAGAGCAATCCCAGATCCTTGTAACCTACATGTATGTGTAGAGATGGCTTGTGATGAAACAACAGAAAGACCTGATGCAAAATGTTCCACATGGTGACACTACATTGTGAATGGGACCATCAGAGCAAGCTTTGCTGTTGTGCAGGACCTGGAAATGTTAGGTATAGGCCTTTTTTCTTATAATGTCCTCTTGAACATGGGAAGAGAATAGAGTAACCTCCAAGGCCTTATCTATAGAAGTTGTAAGATCTGGGACTTTTGGATCCATGCCTTGTGGTGCTGTGCTTGTAAGGGGGCAGGGGAAGAAAAATATATGACAAGAAGAGAGCTGGAGGAGTCTGCCCCGGTGCCATATCCCTGGCACGTTCCAGAGATACCAGACTCTCTCTCTATGTTGCATCCTTTCATTTGCACCTTTCCTCCTGTCCAACTGTCCAGAGACTGTTGGACTCGGCAGGAAATACCAGAGTCCACCTCTGCATCCACTGCCTCTCACCTGCTGTATGCCAGGTCTCCATTCCTGTTCCTCCAAGGAACAGGCAGGGAGTAACCACCTGGTTCCTGGTGCTGTCTTTGGGGTCCACCTGATGCCTGGAGGGCTCTGCCCTGGGCGCTGGTCTCCTGGGTGAATGCTCTGTCACCTGGTTGGCAGTTGGTCGTTCAGAGAACATCCATCAAGGGCTCAAGAAACCCTTCCTGCTGCCCAGTGGTGATCACGAGGACCTCGACTGTCCAACCGTTGGGTATGCGGTGGGTGCTGGGACTTGTTCTGCAGACTGCAGCGCACTGTGGCAGGGCTGCCCACACCTTCCGAAACAGCTAACTCGTTTCACTGCTGAAGTCTAACCCCAGCAGTGCAAAGCACCCTGTGGACAGGTTTACCAAGTGAGCAAAGGAAATGAGTCCTTCCTGAGCTCA